AATAACTGTCAATCTCCCTCGGCCTGGGGCTCCATGCAAGATCTCACCTTGTGGAGTTGCAATGATCATGAGAACGGTGAGGAATCAGCCCAGAACTACACGGGAGGATCTTGTCAATGATCTCAAGGCAGCTGGGACCATAGTCACCAAGAAAACAATTGGTAACACACTACGCCGTGAAGGACTGAAATCCTGCAGCGCCCGCAAGTTCCCCCTGCTCAAGAAAGCACATATACAGGCCCGTCTGAAGTTTGCCAATGAACATCTGAATGATTCAGAGGAGAACTGGGTGAAAGTGTTGTGGTCAGATGAGACTAAAATCGAGCTCATTGGCATCAACTCAACTCGCCGTGTTTGGAGGAGGAGGAATGCTGCCTATGACCCCAAGAACACCATCCCCACCGTCAAACATGGAGGTGGAAACATTGTGCTTTGGGGGTGTTTTTCTGCTAAGGGGACAGGACAACTTCACCGCATCAAAGGGACGATGGAGGGGGCCATGTACCGTCAAATCTTGGGTGAGAACCTCCTTCCCTCAGCCAGGGCATTGAAAATGGGTCGTGGATGGGTATTCCAGCATGACAATGACCCAAAACACACAGCCAAGGCAAGAAAGGAGTGGCTCAAGAAGAAGCACATTAAGGTCATGGAGTGGCCTAACCAGTCTCCAGACCTTAATCCCATAGAAAATCTGTGGAGGGAGCTGAAGGTTTGAGTTGCCAAACATCAGCCTCGAAACCTTAATGACTTCTCCAAGAAACGTCTGACCTCTGTGATTGCCAACAAGGGTTTTGCCACCAAGTACTAAGTCATGTTTTGCAGAGGGGTCAAATACTTATTTCCCTAATTAAAATGCTAATCAATTTATAACATTTTTTACATGGGTTTTTCTGGATTTTGTTGTTGTTATTCTGTCTCTCACTGTTCAAATAAACCTACCATTAAAATTAGACTGATCGTGTCTTTGTCAGTCGGCAAATGTACAAAATCAGCAGGGGATCAAATACTTTTTACCCTCACTAGCCTTTGACCTTTGACCTTTAATTCAGAACGAAAAAATATGATACAGTATGAGGAGTATAATATCTTTGTTGGTAAATAAGACTGGAATGTGGAAGGATCTCCTTTGGCAGGGTGTGGTTCACTGACCAGTAGTTTAGATAACGACTGAAAAGAGATTTGGCCCTGTGACCATGTGATTTCTAACCTTGACATATAATTGGCGGTCAAGTGTCCACTAGAGTAAACTGCCTTAAATTGGTCTAGAAGGTCCACTCACTCTTTATCTTAGAAATTATAACATATCCAGATTGCATTGCTCGCTTCGGTCTCTACATATCAAGGTTAGACACCTATACATTTCTTTCTCAGAATGACCATGTTGATTTATGAATTCTCTTTTTCCCCCAGGGTGGTATTGAAGAGACCACTGTGGCCCTGTGGCAGAGCGACCTATGATAGTGGCAGTAGAGAGGACTGAAGGGATAGCCTAGCACTGGTCTTTCCACAGCCACCTCCACCAGCAACCTGTAGCAGTGTGCCCTGTGCCTCATCACCAGCCTCACACACATCTTCTCAACAAAGAGTCATCTGACTGTGAGTATATTTCTGTGGTCGGTCAGTTGGTCAGTCGGTTGGTCGGTTGGTCAGTCTGTCGGTGGCACCCATAGTTAGGCTACTCTGGCCACTGTATCTCTAGCTGCATGGGTGTGTATCTCATTTATTAACAGACATTCAATATGGTTTTATAAATATATACCAAAGCTGTCCTGCTGTCACGGCATGTTGCAATCATCCCTTTTTTCTCTTTCTGATTGTATTAAGCCTACTGGCTGTGATTTGAGGATGTTTGTTTTAATTATTTTTTCATTTGTTTTTCCATTTTTATTTATTATAATTATTTCAATCATTTGGTTTCCCAAGAGTAAATAAAAATAAATGGTGTTCATTAGTTCTTCCCTTGGTTTTGATAGCATGTCTTATATAAAACATTAAAGTAAATAGACACATGCTGTAGATTCAAGGCTTTTATTTTCTCTGGCAGATGGTCAAAGGTAATCACTTGAGCTAAAAGCAAGGCATGGCCATGAGTATACATTATACATTATCTAGGAAGATCTTGATGATTGTGTTAAACATTAAAGGGAAGATTGCAGAATTAGGTTGCTGTTAAACATACTGATTGATTTCATCCTTCCAACTAAAAGTCCCAATACAACATATCACTTTACATTAGAATTTTGGGAGAAATGTATATTTTATCCGAATTTGACCGAGGTCATGTCGGAAAAGCGTTCGGAATAGTGACTTCAAGAGAAGGACACAAGTGAAGCCACAATCCACATAAGACGGTAAAGACCCCCATCATACCGAGTCCAGCATTTCTCATACTTTTACACAAAATCAAGATAAACATTTACCATCATAGTAGATATTGAACGTATATAACCAAACTGGCTAAAACTCTGTTGTTGGCCGATGGTAGCTATTGCTAGCCACATGCTAACCTGAGTGCTAACGTTACTAGCAGTAGTAACAGTAAATCCAGGGATAATTGCTAACACAAACATTGGCTACCATGATATCCTGCAAGTTAGATCGGCCAATAAAGGTCAGGCAGTTCAGAAAAAAAGACATACCTTGAAATAAACAATTACATTAAACCGAAAGGTATTTGACTATTCATTTCTGCAAAACGTGCAGTGTTGATGAGGTTGTTGTAGCTTGCTTGCTTGCTAGCTAGCTAGCTTATTCCATCCCCAAACACCATGTTAGATCTGAGTGGGCCAATTCGTTTTGCCTGGCCCGGTGCATTTAGATAGCTGGCTATATTATTTTTAAAATAATCTACTAGCAACATAACATGACAAAACTCTTTGAGCACTTTAGTACCTACTTACCTGATTGGCCTCCATCACCAAAGCCACCAGCAGGCTGTTCATTTCTTGACGTCAAAGCTGCAATGTATAGTTGATATAGGAGTTTTTTATAAATGTAATTCAAATTGCGAAAATGTTTTATACACTTTTGCATAAAGAACGTTTTAGATGGAATATAATCAATCTACGTTGTTAGATTTGTGGAATATACTGTATATCGTGCCACCTTTCCTTTACGATTGCATAGGAGAGAAGCCTGATTTCATTGTATTTTTACAGCTGTTGCATATGATAATTACAAGGGTGATGGTAGTGAAAGGGGGTCAGGTGCTATAAGGATTAACTAGCGTACAGGATGTACCCAGAGGGTAAAGGGGGAGGTACTGTATAATAGCAGTGGTTTTAAGAACCCCTGTGCTCTGGGTGTGGATTATGTGGATGAATGAATTTATGTAAAACGTATACGATTGTATGAACAGCTGTTCAGTCTTACAGAAAAGCCATTCATGTTTTTTTAGGACAGTATAACGTAGAGGCTGTTTGCTGGAGGGCTAATGCTAAATAATATTTAGGGATTTGATACTTTTTCTGCTATCAAAGTGGTTAATAAAATATGTTGTTAATGGTGAAATGGTAGAAAACCAAACACCACATTGAAACTATTTAATGAATCTAGATTCCATGTGTGGAATGACAAAGCTATTGGATGTATTTAATTGTCATATCCAGTCTTTTTCAACTGATCTACAAATGTCAGCTAGAAAAGTCAAGCATTATTCAACAAGTCAGTTGTACATTGTCTTTGTAGCATTTTGTTAATACTACATTTAGATATCTAAGAGGAGCTTTAACAATGCATGAATTGAGAGCAATAATGTTACGCTTGAAATATCATGGCGCCATCTCTGAATATATATTTTTCGTAGCTGAGCCAATTTGTAGATGTGAGTTTATCATTTACAGTTTGTGTTCAGGGCAGGCACTACTCCATTTGTGAGGATGGCCTAAACATTGTCAGACCAAATTTTAGCAAACGAGTCGGGCGCAAATACCAGCTTAAACACTGCTTAGTTGTGTAACGTCCCGAAATTGGGAGAGCAGAGGGTAGGATAGTTAGGGAGCACCATCACTGGGAGAGCAGAGAGTAGGATAGTTAGGGAGCACCATCACTAGGAGAGCAGAGGGTAGGATAGTTAGGGAGCACCATCACTGGGAGAGCAGAGGGTAGGATAGTTAGGGAGCACCATCACTGGGAGAGCAGAGAGTAGGATAGTTAGGGAGCACCATCACTAGGAGAGCAGAGGGTAGGATAGTTAGGGAGCACCATCACTGGGAGAGCAGAGGGTAGGATAGTTAGGGAGCACCATCACTGGGAGAGCAGAGGGTAGGATAGTTAGGGAGCACCATCACTGGGAGAGCAGAGGGTAGGATAGTTAGGGAGCACCATCATTGGAAGAGCAGAGGGTAGGATTGTTAGGGAGCACCATCACTGGGAGAGCAGAGCGTAGGATAGTTAGGGAGCACCATCATTGGGAGAGCAGAGGGTAGGATTGTTAGGGAGCACCATCACTGAGCACGCGGGCGGACGGGTGATAAACTAAGCCTATTAGTCTAAACCCAGAGCACCACCTACTGGGGGTTTAGAGTCTCTTAGAAAATATACCACCAGGGCTTTTAAGATGGGAACAAAACTAATGGGATGGGGATCCATCTTGATTGTCTCTTTCCCTCTATCGCCCTACAGATCCTTTGTCGTGCAGTTTTGTGCAGAAATTCATCCAACTACTAACCAGCTAGCTAGTTTACCTTTGACAGATTTGATTGTTTCAATATCAAATGCCAACATCTTATGAAAATAAGATCACCACCGAAATGTGAGGAAAGCACATGGGGTGGATGGAGAAGGTCATTTGTTGAAGTGGATTAAATGTGGCATTTCTGTGCTAAATATCCTGATTATATCCCTGCAGTGCAGCTGTGTTCCATCTCAAAATGTATTTGATAATCATTATCCAATTTTTTTTTATTAGATAATGCTCATCATGTGGCCCACATTTAGAATTTCTAAAGGTTTATTCATTATTTAAAATGTTTTGTGTTTTTTTTCTTCTGTGTCCAGGTGACATCTGTTGCAAGGGGATGACCGAGCGCATTCATAACATCAATCTCCACAACTTCAGCAATTCTGTACTTGAGACCCTCAATGAGCAGCGCAACCGCGGGCACTTCTGTGACGTGACTGTTCGGATCCATGGAAGCATGCTGCGAGCCCACCGCTGCGTGCTGGCCGCTGGGAGCCCCTTCTTTCAGGACAAGCTTCTCCTGGGCTACAGTGACATTGAGATCCCCTCTGTGGTCTCGGTGCAGTCCATCCAGAAGCTGATAGACTTCATGTACAGCGGGGTCTTGCGGGTGTCCCAATCGGAGGCTCTCCAGATCCTCACTGCTGCCAGCATCCTGCAGATCAAGACGGTCATCGATGAGTGCACCCGCATCGTGTCCCAGAATGTGGGCCTGGCCGGTCCAGGGGGGTTCCCTGTCAACCCAGGGGACTCTGGGCAGGAGACTCCCCGGGGCACGCCTGAGTCAGGCACCTCTGGGCCCAGCAGCGATGCAGAGTCAGGGTACATGCAGGCTACGTCCCAGCAGAGCCTTGAGCGTGCCTACACATCGCTGTACTCCTACTCGGGCCTCTCACTGCAGAATGGAACCCGTGAGCGCTCCCACTACGTAACCAGTATGACAACAAGCTACGACCCAGCCCTCAGCACGCAGAAGGACCAGCACGACCAGGACCCGCCGTGGATCACCCGCATCCATGAAAGGTCACAGCAGATGGAACGCTTCCTATCCACCCCTGAGACCACCCACTGCCGCAAGCAGCCCCGACCGGTACGCATACAGACAGGAGGCATGCACATAAAGCAGGAAGTAGAGGATGAGTACAGCTGCTATGGTATGGATGAGTGCACAGAAGACACTGACCACGTTGAGGGTGTGGAGACTGAACCGAAGGGTGAAAGCTTTGACTCAGGGGTAAGCTCCTCCATCGGTACTGAGCCAGACTCCGTGGACCAGCACCAGTACCCGGTGGGCTTTGGGAGGGAAGGGGGTGGAGAGGGGACCCCACTGCAGATCGAGGTCGATGACTCCTCCCCAGAGCAGATTCATGAGACGGAGGAAGGGGGTACATCCCACAGCACTAGCGACAGTAACATGTTGCAGCCCCTGCCCAACCCAATCATGGCCCAGTCTCTGCCAAGTGCCCTACTCTATATGCGTCAGGCCGAACCTCATACCAGCAACCTGAGGATGCCGCTCACCATGACCAGCAACACCCAGGTAATGGGCACGGCTGGCAACTCCTACCTGCCCACTCTGTTTGCCACACAGTCGGCCAGCAACAACAAGCCCTTCCTCTTCAGCCTGCAACAGTCCATGGGAGGCCAGCAGCCCCAGTTTGTGTCCGGGCCACCCCCTAGTATGCCCTCATTCCCTCAGCAGTTGACGGTACAGCAGCAGGCAGCGCGGGAACAGCAGCAGGCGGCCCAGATGGGACCGGGGGAGAAGAAGCCCTATGAGTGCACTCTCTGCACTAAAACCTTTACTGCTAAACAGAACTACGTCAAACACATGTTTGTGCACACTGGTGAGTACACTGGCTCCTCCTACCATTCTGCATGTGACACTAGTATATTGCCATGAGTGGTTGGGGTTTCAAATCATTTCCCTATACATTTGCAAACATAAAATACACAAACACAATGAATAATTATTTTAGTTTAGATGTAGCAATGGATTTTTATTTAACTATGCTGAGACCAAGGTCTCTTTCACAGATGAGCCCTGTATACACCTCAATGTACACTATATACATCAATATACACATAGCTATACACTATACAAATCAATATACACATCACTATACACTATACACATCAATATATACATTAACATACACTATGGTCCTCTGTAGCTCAGCTGGTAGAGCACGGCGCTTGTAACGCCAAGGTAGTGGGTTCGATCCCCGGGACCACCCATACACAAAAATGTATGCACGCATGACTGTAAGTCGCTTTGGATAAAAGCGTCTGCTAAATGGCATATTATTATTTATTATTATTACTATACACATCAATATACACATCAATGCACACTAATATACACTATACACATCAATATACACATCAATATACACTATACACATCAATATACACTATACACATCCCTATACCCATCAATATACAATATACACATCAATATACACTATACACATCAATATACGCTATACACATCATTATACACTATACACATCAATACACACATCAGTATACACTATACACATCAATATACACATCAATATACACTATACACATCAATATACACATTAATATACACTATACACATCAATATACAAACCAATATACACTATACACATCACTATACACTATACACATCAATACACACATCAATATACACAATACACATCAATACACACATCAATATACACTATACACATCACTATACACATAAATATACCCATCAATATACATAAGGGATAATCAATGAGGGGCTATGCGTTCTATGGAAAATCTTTTTTTCTTAAATCTGCATTGTTGGTTAAGGGCTTGTAAGTAAGCATTTCACTGTAAGGTCTACACCTGTTGTATTTGGCGCATGTGGCAAATAAAATTGGATTTGATTTGGAATGAATGAGGTGGAAGGTGTGTTCCACGACACGCTAGCGGACTGGAACTGACCTTCCACAGAGTTGCTTTATTTTCCAGAGAACGCATAGCTCCTCTTTGATTATCTCTTTTAACACATTTGCCACTAGAAATGAGTTAATTTGCCTGTAGACAGGTGTTCAACATCCACTGAAGTAGCTAGCAAGTTTACTAGATAGCTACAGTAGTTGCTGTGGTAACCAAACAAACAGACGTGTAGCTTGCTATTATGAAAATCGAATTCAACAATACCAATACTATTTTCAATTGGACTTTGGCTTTCAAAAGCAGCTAAAACAAAACATGTAAAAATGAACTAAGGCACCTCTGGGGTTTCTGGTATATGGCCAATATACCACTGCAAAGAGGTGTTCTTAGGCACGACGCAACTCTGAGTAGATTGGCCATATACCACACCCCCTCAGGCCTTATTGCTTAAATATACACTATACACATCAATATACACTATACACATCACTATACACATAAATATACACATCACTATACACTATACACTATACACATCACTGTACACATCAATATACACTATAAACATCACAATACACATCAGTATACACATAAATATACACTATACACATCACTATACACATCATTATACACTATACACATCAATATACACAACAATATTCACATCTATACATGAAAAGCATCAACGCAATCATAGAAAACAAACAGATCTTCAGTACAAAGGTCCTCAATCAGCCTTTTGAATTGCCTCCTAATAAATGTGTATTTTGTTTAGTTGCTTGACGTATATAGGCTATTTCTTGATGGATGGATGGATGGCTAACTATAAACTATTTTACTACCATAATGAACATTACACAGGTATATATCTGTTTTCTGTTTATGAAAGAAGTAGTGATTTCAGGGATTGACATTAAGGGTTGTCTTACTGGCCAGGCAAGTGAACTTTCTGGTTCCTTCCCTTATGGAATTAATGGCAGTCGGGCAAGTTGCGCCTTCTCTGTGGTTTCCCAATTGGTCAGGTGAAAACAACCAAACTGTCCAGTAGCCTAAAATGTATATTTTTAGTTCCTCCCAATTGTTTAAGTGAAAGAGAGACAATCTATGGCACTTCATGGCCCTAGCTGTTTGCATACAGACATTTCATAAATTGTCTTTCACTTAAACCACGTGTCAAACTCATTCCACGGAGGGCCAAGTGTCTGCGGGTTTTCACTTCTCCCTTGTACTTAAAGTCACTAATTAGTAAATATCTCCCCTCACCTGGTTGTCTAGGTCTTAATTGAAAGGAAAAAGCAAAAACCCGCTGACACTCGGCCCTCAGTGGAGTTTGACACCCCTGACTTAAACAATGGGGAGGAACCAGAAATATCAGTTTTAAGTTACCTTAATGTCAATCCCTGATTTTGATTCAGCTGAGTTATACCAATTAGTTATAAGGCTCTGTCACATTGAAAAGTGAACTGTGGCTACCTGCATCATATAGCTGATAATATGTTTTTGATTAATATAGTGGGTGATATGTAATGCCCTGTATGGTTGCCAATTAAGCTTGTTCTATACGATACCACACATTGATTAGGTACTATTTGTAATTTAGAGTTTTATCAGTGGGTGGTTGGTGCATAAATATTAAACGTAAAAAGAGAGATGGCAACACCAAGCAGGATGTTGATTAGTTTAGAATATATATCCAAACTGAGATTTGTGTTTTTTGGATGTTGGAAGAGGTTCTAATGTGACCTTAATTCATAATTGGGCTCTACATGTCCCGGTTAAGAGCAGAATGAAAGAGCAATGAATATTGGCACATAGTATTGTTTTTGATTAGTTTAGAAAATATGTTCAAACTGAGATTTGTATTTGTATTTATTATGGATCCCCATTAGCTGCTGCCAGGGCAGAAGCTACTCTTCTTGGGGTCCAGCAAAATTAAGGCAGTTATACATTTTAAAAACATTACAATACATTCATAACAGATTTCACAACAGATTAAGTGTGTGCCCTCGGGCCTCTACTCTACTACCACATATCTATAACCCAAAATCCATGTGTACATGTATGTACAGTGAGGGAAAAAAGTATTTTATCCCCTGCTGATTTTGTACGTTTGCCCACTGACAAAGAAATTATCAGGCTATAATTTTAATGGTAGGTTTATTTGAACAGTGAGAGACAGAATAACAAACAAAAAATCCAGAAAAACGCATGTCAAAAATGTTATACATTTGCATTTTAATGAGGGAAATAAGTATTTGACCCCTCTGCAAAACGTGACTTAGTACTTGGTGGCAAAACCCTTGTTGGCAATCACAGAGGTCAGACATTTCTTGTAGTTGGCCACCAGGTTTGCACACATCTCAGGAGGGATTTTGTGCCACTCCTCTTTGCAGATCTTCTCTAAGTCATTAAGGTTTCGAGGCTGACGTTTGGCAACTTGAACCTTCAGCTCCCTCCACAGATTTTCTATGGGATTAAGGTCTGGAGACTGGCTAGGCCACTCCAGGACCTTAATGTGCTTCTTCTTGAGCCACTCCTTTGTTGCCTTGGCCGTGTGTTTTGGGTCATTGTCATGCTGGAATACCCATCCACGACCCATTTTCAATGCCCTGGCTGAGGGAAGGAGGTTCTCACCAAGATTTGACGGTACATGGCCCCGTCCATCGTCCCTTTGATGCAGTGAAGTTGTCCTGTCCCCTTAGCAGAAAAACACCCCCAAAGCATAATGTTTCCACCTCCATGTTTGACGGTGGGGATGGTGTTCTTGGGGTCATAGGCAGCATTCCTCCTCCTCCAAACACAGCAAGTTGAGTTGATGCCAAAGAGCTCGATTTTGGTCTCATCTGACCACAACACTTTCACCCTGTTCTCCTCTGAATCATTCAGATGTTCATTGGCAACTTCAGACGGGCCTGTATATGTGCTTTCTTGAGCAGGGGGACCTTGCGGGCGCTGCAGGATTTCAGTCCTTCACGGCGTAGTGTGTTACCAATTGTTTTCTTGGTGACTATGGTCCCAGCTGCCTTGAGATCATTGACAAGATCCTCCCGTGTAGTTCTGAGCTGATTCCTCACCGTTCTCATGATCATTGCAACTCCACGAGGTGAGATCTTGCATGGAGCCCCAGGCCAAGGGAGATTGACAGTTATTTTGTGTTTCTTCCATTTGCGAATAATCGCACCAACTGTTGTCACCTTCTCACCAAGCTGCTTGGCGATGGTCTTGTAGCCCATTCCAGCCTTGTGTAGGTCTACAATCTTGTCCCTGACATCCTTGGAGAGCTCTTTGGTCTTGGCCATGGTGGAGAATTTGGAATCTGATTGATTGATTGCTTCTGTGGACAGGTGTCTTTTATACAGGTAACAAGCTGAGATTAGGAGCACTCCCTTTAAGAGTGTGCTCCTAATCTCAGCTCGTTACCTGTATAAAAGACACCTGGGAGCCAGAAATCTTTCTGATTGAGAGGGGGTCAAATACTTATTTCCCTCATTAAAATGCAAATTAAATTTATAAAATTTTTGACATGCGTTTTTCTGGATTTTTTTGTTGTTATTCTGTGTCTCACTGTTCAAATAAACCTACCATTAAAATTATAGACTGATCATTTCTTTGTCAGTGGGCAAACGTACAAAATCAGCAGGGGATCAAATACTTTTTTCCCTCACTGTATGTTATCATGTGTTTGTATGCATGTGTCTATGTTGGTGTTGCTTCACAATCCCTGCTGTTCCATAAGGTGTATTCTTATCTGGCATGAGTTACCTGATGTGGAATAGAGTTCCATGTAGTCATGGCTCTATGTAGTACTGTGCGCCTCCAATAGTCTGTTCTTGACTTGGGGACTGTGAAGAGACTGATAATATGTTCATGAGTAAGAGGGAAATATTGGTGCCTATTCAAATGTAAAGAATCAGACACTGGAGGATGAGCGTGCCCATCAACAATGGCTGCTTGGCAGTGAGTTCATGGACTGAGGTGTTGGGTTTAATGTTGTTTTGTGATCGGCACCGTCCTCGTTAATTAGCAAAAATCATGCAACATTTTCAAGGCTACATTGGAAGAATAGAGTTTCACTGTCAGTCACAGTGTCCTTTGTTGTTTTGCAGGGTTTTGTGTTTTCCTGTCTCTCCTTTTTCCTCCTAATGACTGTGACTTCTGTGTACATCCAGGTGAGAAACCACATCAGTGCAGCATCTGCTGGCGCTCGTTCTCCCTGAAGGATTACCTAATCAAACACATGGTCACTCACACAGGGGTACGTGCCTACCAGTGCAGCATCTGTAACAAACGCTTTACACAAAAGAGCTCCCTCAACGTCCACATGCGGCTGCACCGTGGAGAGAAGTCCTACGAGTGCTACATCTGCAAGAAGAAGTTCTCTCACAAGACCCTGCTAGAGAGGCACATGGCTCTGCACAGCACAGGGGGCGCCGTCACGGGGCTGTCTGGGTCAGCAGGCACCGGTGGCCCCGTCTCCATTCCCATGGCCGTGCCCGAACCTGGCGCTGGAGTGGTGGCCCTCGCCATGCACGTCGGTGGAGGCGCAGGAGTAGGGGGTGGGGTCGGACCGGGAGTGGGTGTGGCTGCGGAGGCAAGCTGCCAAGAAAGGACCACCTACGTGTGCTCCGTCTGCCCTGCCAAGTTCGACCAAATTGAGCACTTCAATGACCACATGCGAATGCATGTCTCCGATGGATAAGTACAAATAGATACACTTCTTTAAAAAATATTACATGAAAAAGAAAAATGGCACTAGATTTTTTTTTTTTTTTTGAGGCATGAAGAGTAATGAGTATAGACACTGGCACATTAAGTTTCCCAGAAAGGAGTTTTTTTTTTTTGTTATTCTAAAAGAAAAACAAGATGGTGGCCTTAAGGCTTTGTAGTTTGATATTGATCCACTGGATGGATCCTTACTACAGGCCTCTAAATGTATGCTTTCCTAAAATACTGATTTATGTGTTGAACACTACCGAAAGGCCTACGAAAGAAACACACACACATACACAAATTCAAACTCACACACCTATAGATATATCTTTGTATGAGTGTATGTGTTAATCTGTGTATGTGTGTACTTGTGCGTGTGTATTTGTATGTGTGCGTGTGCGTGTGTGTGTGCGTGTGCAAACATTGCCATGGAATTTGGAACATGGTAAATGTAACCCCATATTGACCGTTTTGGACACTATTAGGAGTCCAGGCTTACTGTGCTAGAATTTTCACAAAAAAAAAAAAAAAAAAACATCTGGCTTGGGCTAATGATTCCCTCTAAAAAATATTGTTGGTCACAAGTTTGCCTTCTTATGTCGGATAAGAAAAGGAGAGTAATTAATTTGACACTGGGTTTTTATTTATTGTTATTATGGTATTGAGGGATTACAATACAGCTGTTGTGAAGGTACAAGTTGATATTAACAATTGTACTGAAATGTAACTTCCTGTGAGTTGGTATAGAAATGGGTATTTAGTATATGTGTTAATGTCCATGCATTTTGATGGTTCAGGTTAAGTTTACAAAATTAGGGTTGTTGATAAGACAGTATTTGAGCAAAAATGTAATAGGAGTTTATTTCATTTGCATACACTGCCACTAATATCTTAGAAGACTGTTAAGGCTATTAGACCTCTTCCATTTAAAACATGTGACCTAACAAAAGACAAAAGGTTCTTCTTGACATAATCAGTTTATCAATTATTGTTTAGTTCTATGAAGAGGATTTTACATGTGCAGTTGTAGCAGGCTTGATTGAGTATGCTACCAGACTCATCGTGACTGCTGCTTCGCAACTTGCACCAGACTGTTATCAGCTGTAGACTACAACATGATTTGTCAATATTACTATTAACATTTAAATTAAGAAACTAAAATATATTATTTGATAATGGAATGGTTTACCAGGATAGTTTAAGACAGCTGTCAAATAGATTACCGGTAAATTGAGAATGATTCTGTGAACTTGCATAGGACAGAAATATAATCGTGTGACCTAAATCTCTGTATATCCTGTTCCTACGGACATGACACAGCTATTTGAGCAGGTGGAGAAACTAAAATGCACTACTCCTGAAATGTTAGCTCCACCTGGTGGCCCAAATGGCATGTCATGTTCAGGCATTTATTACAGACACGAGACAGGAGGCAAAATAAACCACAATAACATATACCCCGGGTCAATAATTACTTCATAATATAACACAACTTGCAGATGGACTTCCAAGACAATAAGATACATTCCTCACGGATACCTAGACACAGTGTGTACAGAATAGATTGATTTGGGAGTAAGGAGAGGGGATGTCATTCAAGTGTCACATCACTCAAAGGCTCTGCTCTGATATTTGGCTTGCTGTTCATGCATTTTATCCAAAATAAGACAAATATGTCTGCCTGCAACTGCAATCTGAAGATTTTGCTCATTTCTTTGAGTAGACACACCTTTTTAGTTACAATGACGAGATAGTAACTTACCACAGATACAGTACAGTCTGAAAACAATATGTTGTAGATAAAAGCAAAGTGCTACTTTGCACATTTTCTTCAAATGCCTGTGCTTAATATTTAATTGTTTTACTTAATAAAAGAAATTCTATTATTTTCATTTTTTCATTTTTAAAGGAAAAAATCTTTCTTAAAAGCTTAATAAGAGGACTGCGTTATTTTCTTGCATAGCCTATATGTTGCACTGCTTAAACCGATAAGTGCACTACTGTTACCAGAGATATTATAGTTTTAGAGAAAAATAATCATTTTTTATCTAATAATTGGTTGTAGAATTCACGTGTTAGAATAGCTTTGTTCCATTTTACGATAAGGTAATTTAATGTTTCTTAGCTTTTGTTATCGCTTGCTATTATATGTATTTACTTGTGCTGTGTTTGTGCAAGCGTTTATTTTTATTTAAATGCAATCCATCGTGTGAGCTTGTCTCTGTTTTCACCCTTTTAATGTATTCTTTTCAAGAGTTTAATCCCCTTTAACAGCAGTTATCGCATTGCATACATTAGAACAGATGCTGAATTTTCATACAAAAGCATTCATGCCAAACGAAATCCCCCCCCCCCCACCCCACCCCCCAAAAAAAGAAAAAAATATTTTATAGTGTCCGTGGACATAAATTATATGTGTTTTTTAGAACAAGTTTCTTTAGGAATTACAGGGTGGGTGGGAGATTGTACACAGCTTATTTGCTATTTGTAAATTGTACACAAGTGTGCGTCTCTTGTGTTTGTCTGTGTGAGTGTTTGTATGTGTTATATAATCAAACTGTTGGTGTCCCAAGTGGAGGTGTAATACCTGAACTGTAGGGCTTCCTTTGCAATATGCAGTGCAGGTACTATGAGACGCAGCTTTAGCTAACCCTCTTGGGCTAATAAACACATTTGTTGTGCACATTTACAAATACATCTATTGATCAAATATTGATACTGGTAAATACATTGCCCCGATTGGAAGAAGTGCATGGCATTTTGTGCCTAGAGCTTTAGTTATCTTCAGCTGGTTGCTATTTGGATAAGGCCTACCTAATAATACTCTTCTATCATCTTCACTGTGTTCTATCTTTGTCTCTTTCAAATTGAAAACAAGGAAGTGATGAGGGCTATTAGTTAGTAATCAATCCCAGAGTTTCCTCATATCAGAAACAACGTACTTACTGAATGCATCAGAGAGAGGGCCTTGTGTTATGTTTCATAGAGTTTCCATCTGGTCACTGAAATAGCATGTGGTTGTCAAGTGAAGGGAACAATATATGTGACTTGTGATTGGGCCGCAGTTTGTTATCCTCTGCTGCAGAGGTCTCTATGGGGAACATAAGCCTATAAATGCTTCTACTGTGTAGCTCCTATTGCTACTCTGTAAGACAAGGAACACTGCATGGCTGCATACAAGGTTCATTGTGTCTGTAGTCTTAGAGGACTCTAGTCTTATGTTTGATGAGACACAGTCCTTAACAGATGGCTGCAGTATGTAAGGAACTGCTGAGATCTATTTTGATTACATTTTATTGCTCTGGCATACAGTTGTTGATGGTGGTAGAGGTAGTGGTGGAGGTGGTAGTGGAGGTGGTGGTGGTGGTAGAGGTAGTGGTAGTGGTAGTGGTGGAGGTGGTAGTGGTGGTGGAGGTGGTAGTGGTAGAGGTAGAGGTAGTGGTGGAGGTGGTAGTGGTGGAGGTGGTAGTGGTGGAGGTGGAGGTGGAGGTGGGTGGTGGTGGTGGTGGTGGTAGTGGTGGAGGTGGAGGTGTTGCTTGTGGTGGTGTCTGCTCTATGGAATAATATATAAGTGGTCAACCAGCTAGGCAGAGCAGTACATTCACCAAGTTAGTCCCATTAAACACAGTAAGAACCATGCACTGTGAACTAAGTCCAACTTTCAGTTTCAGAAACAGAATAATGAAGGCTAAACAATGAACCATCACTTATTTCTAATGAAACCAAGACCAGACTATAGTTGCTTCCAAATGTATTATCAATGAGATAATCTAGCATTATTTTGACCACTTGCAGTCTCTTACAGTCAGCCTAAAGGATATTTATGTAATAAATGAATCAAATGCACTATTGACTGTAGATGTTTTTCTAAAGTACGTCATTTTCTCGTTGTCATAGGTTGTGGAAAAATATAATAGCAAGGGAATAGTTTGATGTTGGTTTTGAGATATTTCAAGAGTGGATTTGGGCTACATAAGTCATCCATATTATCACACAGCTCATGAGAAAGGTTCATTGGAAACATGACATCATCTTTGACAATACTTAGGTATAGGCTTGTTGGCTCTCCCCTGCCCATAGACGGTTGACCTCACTTACACCTGTGTGTGACTTACAAGCAGACGTTTAGCATTAGTATCATCTTATGATACTATAAATTGACATGACATAAGAACTACCCAGGAGTTGTTTTCCAACAGCGCCATGTTTTGTCGGCAGTCCCTCCCTGGCATTTCTTATCATGTCTCTCTTTTGTTTTATTAACTTGTACCAGTGGCTGATGTCATTGTGTTCAATTAATAGTCAGTTAAAAAGTTGTGAAAACATGCAATGCAACCCTGAAATACGCCCCTGTCGTTGTTGTCCTTGGTCTATATAACTATACAGTCAAGAAAGAGTTGAGAATGTATGTTTGTAAGATTGCTATAACATAATGTATTTTTCAGCTATACAATATATTCACAGGTATAGAATTACGTAGAATTAAGCCTACAGCTTTTCGTTTGGTGTTTTAACTGTCATTTTCTTATATTTCACGTTTTTACTTAAGTGTAGAGACACAGGATCAGTTTTGCAGTGTGTTTGAATCATCTGAGTGCTTGTGTGTTCCAGGGCTTTCATTTGCCCGTTTTTCTTGCAACCATTATGTACCGGTGCATTTGTAAATAGTTTTTAGTTAGTGGGCAAAGGATAGACAGCCATTGAGTAAGACATCACAGCTTGTCAGAAGCGCATATCTTCTGGTTGGACATGAACCCTCTTTTCAAATGGGAGATACTGTACGTTCAGTTGAAAACATTTTTGGAAAATATAACAAAAGTAGTGCTAAGACTAAAGTGATGTGATCAGTGACTAGTATAGCTCTTGTGTCTTAGCAGGCTTTTAGAGAAGTACCCATGCTGTTTATCTTGCAGCTCCCAATGACTTTCCTTCGGTGTCTTCACATTCATTTTATTCACTCAGATACAGTACTAACACATAGTAACTCGG